CCAAAAGAAACATGAATACCATACATGTTAATGTATGAAGACTTACTCATATTCAAGAGATATTAGATTGGTTCAATGCACAAATGAACATACTGTCATGTGAACCGAACGTGAACGCATCACGTGTGACATCATAGATCCATGACTCGAGATGCACCGTTTGTAATTTTGACAATTAGTGTGTAAAGTATCGAAATCACGTGCTACATATCGTGATAAGAATAAAGACACTGTGGCAACACTTGACTGATTGTTAGTTATGTTATTAATTGGTACACACTTGAAACATCTCTTCTTAACGTACATACTTCTCCATATGTTTCTATGGTTTACGTTTCTTTTGCAAGTGAGTATATCAAAAATAGATGACTTTAAAAAATTTCCAGATGGGTGCGGGTTTGCATTAACTGCGCAGCGAATCGGGAGTGCAATATCTAATTCATGAAATTCCACATTGTTTAGGTTTGTTTTTTAAGACCCAACCCTATCTTGTTTGATAGGCATTACTTAGAAGTTGACGGGTGACAAGGTAGACACAATTTTATGGATAACTTCTTTAATACTGTAAAAAGTGACATTTCGGTATAGATCATTATACCGTTGTCAAGCAGTCCTGTTTGTCCTGCTTGACAACGGTATAAGGATCTTTACCAAAATGTCGCTTTGTACAGTATTAAGGAAGTTGTTATCCATAAAATTGTGTCTAACTTCCCAACCCTATCATTGTTTTATCTGATTATCTCCCCTATCATAAGTGACAGGTCCCTTGCTGCATACATTTGTAATCATTCTTACATTTGTAAGCATGCATACATTTGTAATCATGCATGATTTGTAATCAAGCATATGTTTGTAATCATGCTTACGTTTGTAAGCATGCATACATTTGTAATCATGCATACGTTTGTAATCATGCATACATTTGTAACCATGCATACATTTGTAAGCATGCATACATTTGTAATCATGCTTATGTTTGTAAGGATGCATACGTTTGTAATCATGCATACATTTGTAAGCATGCATACATTTGTAATCATGCTTATGTTTGTAAGGATGCATACGTTTGTAATCATGCATACATTTGTAAGCATGCATACATTTGTAATCATGCTTATGTTTGTAAGGATGCATACGTTTGTAATCATGCATACATTTGTAAGCATGCATACATTTGTAAGCATGCATACATTTGTAATCATGCTTATGTTTGTAAGGATGCATACGTTTGTAATCATGCATACATTTGTAAGCATGCATACATTTGTAAGCATGCATACATTTGTAATCATGCTTATGTTTGTAAGGATGCATACGTTTGTAATCATGCATACATTTGTAAGCATGCATACATTTGTAATCATGTGGTGTAATGTGGTACCAGTATGTTTGTGGTAGTGAATTCAAGTGCGCAATGTGTCCATAAGAGATTGACTTGTTTTGAGGGTAATGCATGTACACAAAGCTTGCACAGAACCAATGCAAATTTGGGCCTGACTGATGTATATAGTTGTAAGAATGTACATATAGACCACTTGTTTTCTAGGCACTGTTAAATACTTGTCTGCCCCGATCAGTAGTCCATGTTTATGTTGTGATGGATTTTAGGATCTGTGAAAAACAATGTTATGGTGATAGTTTTGTTATTCTCAAATGATGTTTATGTGATGACTGTTTACAATGTAGTATTTTCCCTGACCTATATATTTCAACTTTGAAGTTTCCGTCTCAGCTTATGTGGGTGATTTACTCAATGTTCGATAGGGATACTGACCTATTTCATATGACCCGGTATGTACACATTAGGCCTTATACAATTTTTAGTTGGTTTATGAGAATGAGTGACCCAAAAACAACTGAAATCAGAAAAAAAATTATAATGTCTTTTGACTCGCAGAATTTCACAAATCTGTTTTACAATTTACAATGAGAAAAATGCAAGATTTTATCACCGCTGTTCATAAGAAATAGTGAATATTATTTTTTAGGATATTTATGCTAATAAAAAACAATCCAGTATCTTTTGGTATTGTTTCACAAACAGACTTCCGGCCTGTGAAGATCCAGGGTAGAATAGGTCTTCAGCAACCCATGCTTGCTGTAAAGGGCGACTATACATGTTGTAAGAGGCGACTAACGGGATCGGGTGGTCAGGCTCGCTGACTTAGTTGATGCATGTCATTGGTCCCAATTGTGTGGATCAATGCTCATGATATTAATCACTGGATTGTCTGGTCCAGACTCGATTATTTACGGACCGCCGTCATATAGCTGGAATATTGCTGAGTGTGGCGTTAAACAACAAACAAACATACTTCTGTGATGGTATCAACTACATGTTTGTTTTCTATTGATTAATACCAGTACTAATCTGGAAGTTGAGTTTTTATTATTTTTAATGTTTTGACCACCTACATTGAACTTAAGGCCTTTTGTTTTAGACCAACTAATAAGAAATAAAAGGCCTTAGTTACAACTATTTGCATACATCATAAGTAATCAGTGTAGTAGAGAATGGAATAATTTCAATATCCCTATCAAATGTTGAGTACCATTCTTAGGCCATGAGAAGTTTTTAGTTTTGAAGCAGATAGTATCTGAGTTAACTCCTCATTGTGGCTACCCTATTGGCAGCTCAGTGGCAAGTAGTGTTTGTAAGTAGATCCCTCACTGTTTCATGAGATATCCAAGGGTTAACTGAGCTGGGTTTAGACCAAGATGCCATTGGTTTTCATGTGTTATAGGTTTAAGATAGACAAACCATGGGTGTTCATGTGTTTCAGTGGGAATATCATGGATATGCCATGGGTATCCATATGTTACAGAAGGGATGAGATAGATATACCATGGGTATTCATATATTTCAGTGTGGATAAGATAGATATAACATGGGTATCCATGTGTTACAGAAAGGATGAGATAGTCATACCATGGGTATTCATATGTTTCAGTGGGGATGAGATAGATATACCATGGGTATTCATATGTTACAGAAGGGATGAGATAGTCATACCATGGGTATTCATATGTTTCAGTGGGGATAACATAGATATACCATGGGTATTCATATGTTACAGAAAGGATGACATAGTCATACTATGGGTATTCATATGTTACAGTGGGGATGAGATAGATATGCCATGGGTATTCATGTGTTACAGAAAGGATGAGATATTCATACCATGGGTATTCATATGTTACAGTGGGGATAAGATAGATATACCATGGGTATTCATGTGTTACAGAAAGGATGAGATAGATATGCCATGGGTATTCATATGTTACAGTGGGGATGAGATAGATATGCCATGGGTATTCAAATGTTACAGTGGGGATGACATAGTCATACCATGGGTGTTCATATGTTACAGTGGGGATATGATAGATCGATAGTACCAGACATGTTATTGTGGATTGGGTGGTCACAATGTGTGACTAGTTGGATTGGATGTCAACACACCAAGTCAGTGTTGATCACCACTGGTATTGAGTATTTACTGACCATGGCATAAAACATCATTTACAAACTCGCATTCCTACAAAGACCTGTTCTCAATGCCATAGCCACCTTGTCTTCCAAACTAATGCCTATATTGAGAGTCAGATACAGGTTGATCAACCTTCTGTAGTGAGCTAAGCGTGTTGCTAAATGCTAATTTCAGATTGTTTTGAAAAATATTTGCAGAGAAGGTCGTGTCCAAAATGGTCACTTACAGACATTACAGTCTTCTGGTGTCTGGATTTACTGCCATGTGATATTGTGTTCAAGATTGTTTCTTCTATTGATGTTTGGGGACGGATTCTGCCATTGATTATTATTTGACAAATTTGAGACACTAGATATTTTAGAATACAATACAGATAGGAATTTTCCCATCTACATGTTATTCTCAAGCTGTGGAAGGTAAAGTCCCCTGGATCAATGGCATCTTGTTATGTAATGTCAATCTCATGTAATCTGTGGTTGTGTTCATGTCATTTTGCTCTCATCTTTGCAATGTTAGACATTAAGCCAACAAGAGCTTTGTGGCTTACAGTCAGTCATTCTTGTTGTTTTTTTTATTATCTGTATAAATAAACATATTAGTTTTGAAATGTGTTTTTGTGATGGTGTTGAATATATTCACTTTGAACTTGAAGACAAACATATTGGGACCTATTCTGACATGGGAGAGAGGCAAGGGGCACTGGGGACCTATTCTGTCACAAGAGAGGCAAGTGGCACTGGGGACCTATTCCGTCACGAGAGAGGCAAGTGGCACTGGGGACCTATTCCGTCACGAGAGAGGCAAGAGGCACTGGGGACCTATTCTGTCAAGAGATAGGCAAGTGGCACTGGGGACCTATTCCGTCACAAGATAGGCAAGTGGCACTGGGGACCTATTCTGTCAAGAGATAGGCAAGTGGCACTGGGGACCTATTCCGTCACGAGAGAGGCAAGTGGCACTGGGGACCTATTCCGTCACAAGATAGGCAAGTGGCACTGGGGACCTATTCTGTCAAGAGATAGGCAAGTGGCACTGGGGACCTATCCCGTCACGAGAGAGGCAAGTGGCACTGGGGACCTATTCCGTCACAAGAGAGGCAAGTGGCACTGGGGACCTATTCCGTCACAAGAGAGGCAACATCTTTCGGTGCCACCAGGGAATGCTTTAACCACGAGGCTATCTAATGGAGTGAGTGAGTGAACTGTGTTTAACGCCGCTAACAGTATTCCAGTATTATTAATGTGGGAGGAAAGCAAGAAGTGATGCAGGTCTTAGACATTTACCACTTTGGTGAAACCCACGAGCATGGGTATGGTGCTGAAAAACCTAGAAACATAATTGGGGCGAACCGGGATTCAAACCCACAATCATAGGTTTCTGGCATGCCCAAGGGATGCAACTCTGCGCAGCAAATTGCGGCACCTTAGACCACTGGGCCACCCCTGCCCCCTCTAATGAAGGGGTACATTGGGTATACTCATTGTTCTTCAGTCAAAAACAAAATTATATGAGTACCACTTAACAATTTTATTATCACCAAAATAACAACAGGTACAATCAATGACAATTACAGAAGAGCTCTCATGTTATGCATCAATATCCAACAGTCTTACGTTAGGAATTTCTGTACAAAAATAGATCTATTGGCCACAATATATTAGAGAGTATTTGTACAAAAAAAAACAGGAATACAGATGATTACACACTTGGTCACTATGGCAACTCAGGTCTCCTTGTTGGTCCTTGTCTGCCTAATTACGTCATTGTTAAGGCATGACCACGAATTTACATGACTTTAGTTACATCATGGCGAGTTGCTCTATGTGTGATGAATGCACAGTGTTTTCAACGTCTACTTGTCATACCCCAAATGCACGAAGATGTTGGCAAACCCAGAAACAATTGGGGCAACACTGGGATTGGAATCCACAATCCTACTATCTGGTCCACCCAAGGGACTGGTCATTCATAATAGGAGGGGGTGGGTCAGAGGGGTGGGGGGCGGGTCAGAGGGGAGGGGGTAGTAAACTAAAAAATATGACTCAAATATGTCTCATGGGGAGTTCTCATAATAAGTTCTTTTCCATTTTGACGTTTCAGGAAGGGTCATCCAAAAATATGACAAGCATTAGGGGTGAGGATCATAATTTTGTTTCTGTACATTTGTATACTGAAACACTGGATACTGAAGGTCGTTTCACAAGGCACATTATTCATTAGCGACTTGACATCCAGTGCGTAAAAAAGTCTAAAATACTGTTGGCCAGGGGGACTAGCTGGCCTTATGAGTTTCAACTTTCACTTGCTTACATATGCGACAGTTTATCTTTCATTCCTGCAATGTCTGTCATTGGTAGTCAAAGTTTGCTGAGTAACTCACTACAAAAATTAAATATAAAGACAAAGGAAGACAATGGCCACTTTCTCCATCAGGAATATAATAATTATGGTTCTGAGAAAAATATTCTGCAAATATTTAGGGTTTTATAGGTCTTCAGCAACTCATGCTTGCTGCAAAGGGTGACTAGTGGAATTGGGTGGTCAGGCTCGCTGACTTGGTTGATGCATGCCATTGTATCCCAATTGCGTGGATCGATGCTCATGATGTCAAATACTGGATTGTCTGGTCCAGAATCGATTATTTACAGACCGCCATCATATAGCTGGAATATTGCTGAGTGCGGCATTAACAACAAACCAACCAAAATGTGTACATATGCAATTCATGATCCACCATGGTAAGAATGATATATAAATGCATGTAGGAATGGTACAAAGTATCAGGCAACATATGCTCGATAAAAGACGTAATACATGATAAGTGTCAATATGATGATTGAACTTTTCAAACAAGACAAAGCGAAACAGCATAATGGTCAAAGTCCAACACATGCACAATGTAACTTGTTTAGTTCTGTGTAATGCTGTGTATACTTATCTGTATTTGTTAATACAATACTCATAATTATATCTTAGTTTGCACTGTCTCCTACTCAATATTCGATAGGGATAATCAGACATGCCATTCTATACTACTCAAAAGAAGATAAGGATCACCTGATTCTTTCATATTACTATAGTTAATCTCTCATGTCATGACAGATTTACTTTACCATTATGAAAGAATCGGGTGATCCTTAACTTCTTTTGAGTAGTATATTTAAATATTACACTTGACATATTATGATCATCATTTTCGTGCCTCATGGAAAAATATAAAAAGTGGAGTAGTATATCATGAATGAACACAGTATGCAAGTCTTATATCAGGGACGGAAATAAAAGCTCACCCATTGGCCTGAGGCTTGTAGAAAGCCCAAAGTGATGCAGGTGTCGGACGTTTACCACTTCGGTGAAACCCACAAGCACGGGTATGGTGCTGACAAACCTAGAAACAATAATCGGGGCGAAGTGGGATTCGAAGCCACAATCATAGGTGTCCGGTGTGCCCAAGGGACGCAACTCTGCACAGCGAATCGCGACACCTTAGACGACTGAGCCACCTGTGCCCCCTAAGGCCAGATGAATGGCGACAGACACAAGCTAATTCTATCTCAGATACAAGGTCATTTCTAGACTTCGGTTTCACCATACACTAAATACTTATCACTTAACCCTAAAAAAAAGTAGGTCCCAAGTAAATGCAGGATAAGTGGACGTTTACTCAGGCACTTTTGATGAGCGACTTGATGTACAGAAGGAAGCGCTGAACACCTTCCCCTCTAGCATCTTGCGTAGTTCTTAAAAGTAGAATGACTACGGGCTTAGCGACATACCTTATAAGGTGCGAAGTGTTCAGCTGATTTACGAACATATCACCGAGTATGACACAGTGTCCTCCTTTTTCTTACTGTTAGTAAGGAGTTTGGTTAAGTACATTAACACAAACTACTTTCCACACAACATAATAATAAACAAGGAATATGGCATATCTACAATAAACGTACCTTTACAAACAAATAATGCTACAGGTATCACATACTTCACACGTGATCAAGTTTTCACACTGAAGCAAGACAATTAATATACATATGTAAACATATCAACATTGGTAAGAATATACAATAATTGTCTACCCTTCATTTCAACATGGCTGCCACAGGGGAGTTACATGCTAATTTCCCACAGACTAATAGTCACAACTTCACGAGTCAATATTTTTTATAGTTGTCTTATTGTGATAACAATGTATATGCCTTGACATTCATTTACCTATTTGATCATAAAATTCATATTGATATTTGTGTATTCAGTATTTGCATGACTAATCTGTAAGTACAGACAGAGACCATATTACCGATATCGGTATACGGTCTCTGGTACAGATATCTCCACTAAACTGGAAGTTTTTTTTACAATCAGTATTTGTTGAAGATGTCGTCTTGAAGTCGTCTTAAGGCACAGCATGAGGCTGATTAGTGACATTTTTCATTTGCCAATTGAGCTTGACCTGAAGTCATTTGTTGACCAGTGAGATGTGACCGAAGTTTCTCATTGCATTGTTGGCTGTCGTCTGGAAATGAGTTCAAGGACAATGTTTGCCATAGTTTTGTGACCTTTGACCTCGTTGAATTTGATTTGACTGATTATTGTACAATAATAAATAACAATCCTGTAATGGCAGTATTTATGCTTAATGGCCATTGTTAGAATTATGACATCATTGATACGTAACCCCAGAGTATCTATCATATCTTGAGTGTGATTATGGAAGATGATTATGCATGTTACAGTTCTGTTAAGTCTGTCACACGATTTGGAACAGTTGTCATGGAAACACCAGGAGCAGTGCAACATATGGCCGCAGGGTTCATAACAGTTTAGTGCACTTTGAGACAACTCCATTCCAACCCACAAGGCCATATAACTCATACATGCCAAAGGGAGACAACTGGAGCTGTCAATACAGTTTAAGCTGCAGATGGATATTGCAAGCTGTGAACAGTTTCCTTCAAAACTAACTGATTGGGGATCAAAATAAAAATGCAAAAGAGTATGCAGCGAGATTGGTCTTGGGACTGTATCGTATTTTACCACACACCCATTTCCTGTTACATTTTATTCATTGTGCAACACCTGTGTGAAGCAGCGCACATAAACTCTTCTTCTGTCCAATGATGCTCCCAGCTTTAAAAATGTCACACAATGTTCTGGCAGTCTGGGTATGAGGTGAAATGCGTTGCCAGTCATCTTGGTCATTGTTCTGAAATGTGAAAGAGTTCTGGGACTAACAGGGGAACATACAAGCACAAATATATGTTCTGGCAAAACAGCTTAGATGTGAAACATTCTGTCCCTTGTCTGAAATGTGGTATGCATTGGCTCTTATCAGAGATGTGATCAAATTCTTCGCAACAGTTCTGAGATCGGATAAGTTCCTGTTCTGGTTCAGAAAAGTGCCAACACGGTTCTGGGATGTGAGAATGTTCCATCACAGATCTGGGATATGAGAATGTTCCACTACAATTCCGAGATGTGAGAATGTTTCAGCACAATTCCGAGATGTGAGACTGTTTTAGCACAATTCTGGGATGTGAGAAGATTCAACCACAGTTCTGGGATGTGAGAATGTTACAGAATAATTCTGAGAGGTGTGGATGTTGTTCACAGTTATTCAATGTGAGAGTGTTCCATCACAGCTCGAGAGGTGAAAGTGTTCACATCCTACTTCCGAATGTTGAGAATGTTCTGGCACAGGTCTTGGATGTAAGAATGCTCTGGCACAGTCCTTGGATGTAAGAATGTTCTGGCACACATCCGGGTTGTGAGAATGTACTGGCACAGTCTGTGGATGTAAGAATGTTCTGGCACACATCCAGGTTGTGAGAATGTTCTGGCACACATCCGGGTTGTGAGAATGTTCTGGCACAGTCTGTGGATGTAAGAATGTTCTGGCACACATCCGGGTTATGAGAATGTTCTGGAACACATCCAGGTTGTGAGAATGTTCTGGCACAGTCTGTGGATGTAAGAATGTTCTGCCACAGTCCTTGGATGTAAGAATGTTCTGGCACACATCCAGGTTGTGAGAATGTTCTGGCACAGTCTGTGGATGTAAGAATGTTCTGGCGCACATCCGGGTTGTGAGAATGTTCTGGCACACATCCGGGTTGTGAGAATGTTCTGGCACAGTCTGTGGATGTAAGAATGATCTGGCACACATCCGGGTTGTGAGAATGTTCTGGCACAGTCTGTGGATGTAAGAATGATCTGGCACACATCTGGGTTGTGAGAATGTTCTGGCACAGTCTGTGGATGTAAGAATATTCTGGCACACATCCAGGTTGTGAGAATGTTCTGGCACACATCAAGGTTGTGAGACTGTTCTGTCACAGTCCTTGAATGTAAGAATGTTCTGTCACAAAACCGGGTTGTGAGAATGTTCTGGCATAGTTCCAAAATCTTGGCAACTATTCTGCTGGATCCCAGGAGGAACTGCAACCACAGCTGAAGCCTTGTCCATCAGTGGGCAGTGCCTTCCTCTGTGTGTGGGTGGGCCTTTATCCCCGCCTGAGATGCTTCTGAAATGTATATGCACACAATGAATAATGGCAGTCAGTCGGGGTTCTTAGAGGGACAAGATAATGATGCTACTACTTGCTACTTGGCTATCTCACCATAACTCTCTTGAGTGAGTGAACATTTGTTAAATGACACACAAAATGACAACTACACCCTCACTTATCCAGTGTATCTTATCTCCATTCAATTTTGATGAATACCCGTGAACTATTCTCCACCTGCTGTATAATGGTATGCTATATAACCGTGGTAGTATCATTGAACCCCGAGCACCGTAGCATCACTGAACACCAAGCACCCTAGCATCACTGAACCCAGAGCCCCCTAGCATCACTGAACCCAGAGCACCCTAGCATCACTGAACACCCTAGCATCACTGAACCCAGAGCACCCTAGCATCACTGAACACCGAGCACCCTAGCATCACTGAACACCGAGCACCCTAGCATCACATAACCCAGAGCACCCTAGCATCACTGAACATGAGCACTCTAGCATCACTGAACACCTAGCACCCTAGCATCACTGAACCCCAAGCACCCTAGCTTCACTGAACACGAGCACCCTAGCATCACTGAACCCCGAGCACCCTAGCATCACTGAACACAGAGCACCCTAGCATCACTGAACACAGAGCACCCTAGCATCACTGAACACAGAGCACCCTAGCATCACTGAACCCCAAGCACCCTAGTATCACTGAACCCAGAGTACCCTAGCATCACTGAACCCAGAGCACCCTAGCATCACTGAACCCCGAGCACCCTAGCATCACTGAACACGAGCACCCTAGCATCATTGAACCCCGAGCACCTTAGCATCACTGAACACGAGCACCGTAGCATCACTGAACACCAAGCACCCTAGCATCACTGAACCCAGAGTACCCTAGCATCACTGAACCCAGAGCACCCTAGCATGACTGAACCCCAAGCACCCTAGCATCACTGAACACGAGCACCCTAGCATCACTGAACCCAGAGCACCCTAGCATCACTGAACACGAGCACCCTAGCATCACATAACCCAGAGCACCCTAGCATCACTGAACACGAGCACTCTAGCATCACTGAACACCTAGCACCCTAGCATCACTGAACCCCGAGCACCCTAGCATCACTGAACCCAGAGCACCCTAGCATCCCTGAACACGAGCACCCTAGCATGACTGAACCCCAAGCACCCTAGCATCACTGAACCCCGAGCACCCTAGCATCACTGAACCCCGAGCACCCTGACATCACTGAACACTGAGCACCCTAGCATCACTGAACCCCGAGCACCCTAGCATCACTGAACCCAGAGCACCCTGACATCACTGAACACCGAGCACCCTGACATCACTGAACCCCGAGCACCCTAGCATCACTGAACACCGAGCACCCTGACATCACTGAACCCCGAGCATCCTGACATCACTGAACCCCGAGCACCCTAGCATCACTGAACACGAGCACCCTAGCATCACGGAACCCAGAGCACTCTAGCATCACTGAACACCAAGCACCCTGACATCACTGAACCCCAAGGACCCTAGCATCACTGAACACCGAGCACCCTGACATCACTGAACACCGAGCACCCTGACATCACTGAACCCGGAGCACCCTAGCATCACTGAACACGAGCACCCTAGTATCACTGAACCCAGAGCACCCTAGCATCACTGAACCCAGAGCACCCTAGCATCACTGAACACCGGGCACCCTGACATCACTGAACCCCGAGCACCCTAGCATCACTGAACACCGAGCACCCTGACATCACTGAACACCGAGCACCCTGACATCACTGAACCCCGAGCACACTAGCATCACTGAACACCGAGCACCCTGACATCACTGAACACCGAGCACCCTGACATCGCTGAACCCCGAGCACCCTAGCATCACTGAACACCAAGCACCCTGACATCACTGAACACCGAGCACCCTGACATCACTGAACCCCGAGCACCCTAGCATCACTGAACACCGAGCACCCTGACATCACTGAACACCGAGCACCCTGACATCACTGAACCCAGAGCACCCTAGCATCACTGAACACTGAGCACCCTGACATCACTAAACACAGAGCACCCTGACATCACTGAACCCAGAGCACCCTAGCATCACTGAACACCTAGCACCCTGACATCACTGAACCCCGAGCACCCTGACATCACTGAACCCCGAGCACCCTAGCATCACTGAACTCAGAGCACCCTAGCATCACTGAACACGAGCACCCTAGCATCACTGAACACGAGCACCCTAGCATCACTGAACACCTAGCACCCTGACATCACTGAACACTGAGCACCCTAGCATCACTGAACCCCGAGAGCCCTGACATCACTGAACCCCGAGCACCCTAGCATCACTGGACCCAGAGCACCCCATCATCACTGAACCCCGAGCACCCTGACATCACTGAACACCGAGCACCCTGACATCACTGAACCCCAAGCACCCTGACATCAGTGAACCCAGAGCACTCTAGCATCACTGAACACCGAGCACCCTGACATCACTGAACCCCGAGCACCCTGACATCACTGAACCCCGAGCACCCTAGCATCACTGAACACCGAGCACCCTGACATCACTGAATACCGAGCACCCTGACATCACTGAACCCCGAGCACCCTAGCATCACTGAACCCAGAGCACCCTAGCATCACTGAACACCGAGCACCCTGACATCACTGAACCCAGAGCACCCTGACATCACTGAACCCCGAGCACCCTAGCATCACTGAACCCCGAGCACCCTAGCATCACTGAACACGAGCACCCTAGCATCACTGAACACGAGCACCCTAGCATCACTGAACACGAGCACCCTAGCATCACGGACTCACAAAACAGATGCAGAGGGACAGTACTACTCAAGCACACTGAAAGCAAATGTTTCGTCGCAGAAAGTGGTCAGTGAGCTTGACAAATTAGACAAGATACTGCCCAACAATGATGTAGGACTTACCAACATCCACGTCTGTCAGGCCTGCAATAGCACAATAGTCACTTACGTACTGAAGGAACACAGTAACCATAAAAAATGGCAGTACAGTGTAACCGTGGCAACTATGAGTCTTAATTAACAGAGCTAAGCATTGCACGCTGAATATGCTTAATGACATCGTCAATACTTCACCAATTTGTATACACTTTGTTCCTTAATCACCTGTCAATCATATGACGATTTGCAATGATATCCCTATTTTTTAACCAACGAATCAAGACATAGCCTGGCTCCTGTGCAAGGGAAACTAGTGAGAGCTCTGGCCAATGGGCTCTCAGATTACATATTTCTCGGCAAGATATGTCATGCAGTGTTAGGGAGGGCATAAAATTCTGGACTAGTGCTCATTTGAGTTCCAAACGGCCTTCTTTCATTAGCTAAGGAAACAGGCACGCATGAATGATGTGCTAGCTAAGGAAGACATATGGCATTATTAATTATTGATGTATATTATTATTAGTGATAAGCTTCATATTACAAGATTCTAGAGCAGGTGATACTGGATGTATTAATGGGCTTAATTAAAGTAAAGAAATCAGGAACTTCAGACTCACCTTTTGTATACTTGAAAATAGGGGACCCAAGGTCTCTTGGAATGGACACTGAAATAGGAATGCAAGGATAAGTCCTTCTTTGAAACAGATCACCCATCTCTGTGACAGATCACTTATCTCTGTATCAGATCACCTATCTCTGTATCAGATCACTCGTCTCTGTATCAGATCACCTATCTCTGTATCAGATCACTCGTCTCTGTATCAGATCACCCATCTCTGTATCAGATCACCCATCACTGTATCAGATCACCCATCACTGTATCAGATCACCCATGACTGTATCAGATCACCCATCACTGTATCAGATCACTCGTCTCTGTGACAGATCACCCATCTCTGTATCAGATCACCCATCACTGTATCAGATCACCCATCTCTGTATCAGATCACCCATCACTGTATCAGATCACCCATCACTGTATCAGATCACTCGTCTCTGTGACAGATCACCCATCTCTGTATCAGATCACCCATCTCTGTATCAGATCACCCATCACTGTATCAGATCACCCATCACTGTATCAGATCACCCATCACTGTATCAGATCACTCGTCTCTGACAGATCACCTATCTGTATCAGATCACCCATCACTGTATCAGATCACCCATCTCTGTATCAGAACACCCATCACTGTATCAGATCACTCGTCTCTGTGACAGATCACCCATCTCTGTATCAGATCACCCATCACTGTATCAGATCACTCGTCTCTGTGACAGATCACCCATCTCTGTACCAGATCACCCATCACTGTATCAGATGACCCATCTCTGCATCAGATCACCCATCTCTGTACCAGATCACCCATCACTGTATCAGATCACCCATCTCTGTATCAGATCACCCATCTCTGTAACGTATCACCCATCTACGTATAGTATTATCACCCATCAATGTATTGTATCACCCATCTATGTAAAGAATCATCAATCCCTGCATCATATCCTATATTCCCTCAACTTACGATTAGCTTTGACTGTCAACCTCTTGAACACTTGTCGTATCCTCTCCAGATTGGTCCGACTCACAACTGCATGGTTCACAATCGGTAATGGGTAATCTTTACCCACAATGCACCTCGCTGCTTTCTGTACTGACTCGGGAGCTAACCAAGGTTCATAGATGTATTTTGTTGGAAATGCTTTTAACACAGGTAGGTAGTGCCTGCAGAAGAAAAGAAATTAAAAAATAAAAACATGCTGCAAAAAGTAGAAAGTGACCATTGTTTTCTAATGCCAGACTCGGCAACATTCCAGTGATTGATATCGTGAGCAACAATCCATGACGTCAGGATACAAAGACACGCTATCAAACAAGTCACCAAGTCTGACCACCTGGTCCATTAAGTCACCTCTTACAACCACATTCGGCAACATTCCAGTGATTGATATCGTGAGCAACGATCCATGACGTCAGGATACAAAGACACGCTATCAAACAAGTCACCAAGTCTGACCACCCGATCCATTAAGTCACCTCTTACAACCACATTCGGCAACATTCCAGTGATTGATATCGTGAGCAACGATCCATGACGTCGGGATACAAAGACACGCTATCAAACAAGTCACCAAGTCTGACCACCAAACCATTAAGTCGCCTCTTACAACCAGCATAGATTGCTGGGGACCTTTTGGGAATCCCCATGGCAACAAGGCGCATTGTAAACAGTCCAGATAAGGCATACAATTAGAAGGCAACAAAATCATTCATACATGCCCTTGGGGCACAATACACGTTCAGCCCGAGTGGACAGCCTGACCACCCAATCCTCATTCCAGTCTTACAATAAGCATTGGGCAATTGGGAAACTGACAACTTTCATCTTAAGTAAAATATTTGTTCATATTGGTGTAGGGGTTCTACCTGAATGAAAAAATGGAAAGTGGAAAAAATAAATAAATAGAAAAGCATTATTATTTTACTCCCTTAAAAACAAACTTATGCGCCTACCATACCGAAAATGCTTACAAAAGGTCAAACTGCAAGACAATAGGTTACAATTGTTTAAAAAAGACAGACAAGCACACATTGCAACATAAAAAATATTCTGTCTCTTCTATCTCATCCCCCCCCCCCCCCCCCCCCCCCCCCCAACCTAATGACTAGGACGTTGTTTTATCCATCTTGAATGATGCATCAATGTGTCATTAAACCTTCAGCAATCTGCCTTTAAATTCAGTTGTAACATTCTAATGACAGAGAACTGTATGTAACGAGTATGTGTACTCAAGGGAATTGTGGGAAATATTTAGGGGAAAACTTACAAAAAGAGATTATTAGTTAATGATCTGCTAATAAACAGTTGATACAAGTGATGTTAATGATGCCATTACTAATTCAGAATTAAGTTTTTAACATAACATTAGGGTTTAGTGTAGTTATTAGTCAATGAATGTTTGATACAACTGTATGCCGGATTTTTCACAAAAATCTGTAAATGGCGTTATTAAAACATTCTGGCTTTCAAGACACCTCAATTCAGTGAAAGTCAGCGAGCATGGTTTGCCGCCGCTTTTAGCAATAGTCCAGCACTATCACAGCGAGGGACACCAGAAATGGGCTTCATACATTGTACCCATATGGAAAATCAGAAACCGAGTTTTCAGCGTGATGAGCGCACACTTTAACCACTAGGCTACTCCAACGCCCAACATGTACATAAAACAAAAGGTGACTTTACCTGACAAAGTTTCCTGAGGGGTCCGCCCTCTTGCCAAACCCCACCGGACAATAACAATGGAAAAACTGTTGGAAGAAGGAGCTACAGGACAACCACATCCAGGTGCCGGCGTTGACGCTCCAGTCGGCATCCAGCAGCAGCTCGTCAAACACCTGTACAGACATCAAACAACACATGTACTGCACAGCCTTTCCTGGGAAACTAATGGTTGATGGCATGAACGACAATTTCAGGTATGTATGGGTCAGGGAAACTAATGGTCGATGGCATGAACAACGATCCATACCATCTGGAGACAATGACACAGCAGGTACAGCCCAATCCTCTGAGCTAATCCATGGCAGACACCAATAATTTACCTGGACCTGCTCAGAGGCTGCTATTTGGGCCCAAAGTCAGCAGCAAATGACAATAACAAAAAATCCCAATTTGAAGTGAAAATTTCCCAATTCCTCAGCATTTATGAAAAAAAATATATATCACCATATATTTCCCAATTTGCCCCAGCAAGAGCACTAAGTTTAGAATTCAAGATAAATCAATGATGGTTTGGTTTGTTTGTTGTTCAACGCCGCACTCAGGAATATTCCAGCTATATGATGGCAGTCTGTAAATAATCGAGTCTGGACCAGACAATCCAGTGATTAACATCATGAGCATCAATCCACACAACTGGGATTGATGACATGCATGAACCAAGTCAGCGAGCCTGACCACGCGATCCATTTAGTCACTTATTACGACAAGCTGGGAAACAGTTCTAAGCCGGACTTCCCACTGTGCTATGCATGTGTGTTCAGTGTCAGGAGCTCACCTTCATCCCCTCCTCCCAGGAGATCCACAGGTCCCCCCGGGTGAGGAAGCATGCGACGGAGTGGCGGGCCAGGTGGTGTATCCAGCCTTCCTGTCGCAGCTGCACCATGATGGCGTCGATCCAGGGGAAGCCTGTCTGACCCTTAAATAATTAGAAGTGGAAAAAAAAAAATATTACTTCTTTGTATATTTTTATTGTGAATAATAATAATGTGCATATTTACAATGCACCACATCCGCATGCTCAAAGCGTGATATTTTTACCCTGGCCTATGGATCAGAATGCAGTCATTTCATTTTTCATTCTCATTTCCCTTGTAAGCATACAACCCACGCTGCCTGTGAGGCTGCCACATAAGCATCTCATCCTACCAGGTAACCATTCACTGTTGTTATTCCTCTAATTTAATGTTTTCACCACAAAGGAATTGTGCATACTTTGAAAATATCATACTCACAACCCAGAATTACGGATAATATGATAACATATGAGGCACAGATATTTCAGAACTCTTAATTTCTTGAGGTCATTCTTTATACTACCCTGTGGCCTTTTTTCTCAGAAGATGTAAAATAAATTAGGTAATATCTGTGACCTTATGGGTAACTTGAGTCTAAATAATTGAGTCTGGACCAGAAAAATCAAGTGATGGATATAATGAGCATCAATCCACGCAATTCAGATACAATGACATGCATCAACCAAGTTAGCGAGTCTGACCACCTGCTCCTGTTAGTCACCTCTTAAGACAAGCATAGTCGCCTTTTACGGCAAGCATAGTCGTCTTTTTGGCAAGAATGGGTTGCTCAAGACCTATTCTACCCCAGATCTTTACAGTTTAATAATTACTAGTAATGACCCATTGTATAATGTTGGTATCTCACCTCGGCCCACTTGGCCAGTGCCTCTGGGTTGCGGTCCCATGGAATCTGCACACACATAGGGTTTCCTATCATCGTGTCGAAGTTAGGGTTATTTGTGGCCACAGTGTAGAAGAATTCTCTCCACAGCAACTGGCCGTGGAGAGCTAGAGGTGGTTCATTACCTTTCTTCACCTGAAACACAAAGTTTACTCAGTGAGTGAGTGAGCTGAGTTTAGGGACCATTCATTTATTATAGTGGTGGGTGGGGCAGAGGGAGCCAGGGGAGGGGCACCAAAACATAATGACAGTCTCTCGGTAAGGCTCATCAAATATAATGCACATTTTGGGGGAGGGTCATGAAAAAATGGTCATTTAATAATAAAATATAAAATGCTTTTGCATTTTGTCTTTTTAGGGAGCGTCATGCAAAAGGACATGGGAAAGGTCATCCCAAAATGACGAGCATATGGCGAGGATCCAGGGATTCGACTCCAACCTAAGTGCCCCTGGCAGGCAAATCACTATATTGTTCAAACATGGATTTTCATAGGTTCAAATTTCCATAAATTCTGAGGAATTGGGAATTTTTTTTATTCAAACTGGGAAGCTTCACCCTCATATTATGAAGACTTAGGGCCGAATGTCTAGATAAATCCCTTGCTCATATCAGGACTTGTCAGCTTAATGTAGGAGGAAAGCCCAAGGGATGCACGTAATACTTATACCACTTGGGTGAATCTCACTGGTACGTGTATGGTTCTGGGACACTGGGGTGCAAGTAAGGGACACAACTCTGCAGTGAACTGCAGTGTCTTTGACAATATGGCCAAAACAATCTGTGTAAGAGTGTGTGAGTGAGCTTTTTGCCGTTTTCAGCAATATTCCAGCAATTATCACGGTAAGGGGAAGACTTAACACATTGTACCCATGTGAGGAATCACACTCAGGCCTTCATCATCATGAGCTAACTCTTTAACACCAAAGCTACCTCACAACCCCAATCTGCAAGAAATCCTTGACTCAGACAGCTTCACAACATCCAACATGTTTGTTTGTTGTTTAACGTCGCACTCAGCAATATTCCAGCTATATGATGGCAGTCTGTAAATAATCAAGTCTGGTACAGACAATCCAGTGATTGACATCATGAGCATCGATCCATGCAATTTGGATACAATGACATGTATGACAACTCTGCAGGCCTAACCACCCAATCCTGTTAGTCGCTCCTTATGACAAGCAGTCGCCTTTTACGGCAAGCATGGGTTGCTGAAGACCTATTCTACCCCGGATATTCATGGGTCTAACATACTTGTAACAGCACTGGTACAAACTGGGATTTCCTGGTTACAAAATTCTCGACACACTATGTTTCAATTGTAATGTAATAGTCCAACCTGTGACACTGAGCCAGTAAATGATTGATGTGTCACGACGCAGTCAGCATCATACCAGTGAAAATCAGCGAAATTATATATCAAAACACTAACATGGTGTAAGTCGGACTCCAGAAGTAGAATCAACTCCCTTACTACGAAACAAGATTTTATTAGTTCTCTGTTACATACTTGAGGATCTTTTCTCACCTTTTTGTACAATTCCCTGAGTTTCCAGTAGAAGAGTCTCGGTGAGAGACAGCCGAACCTCAAGTATGGACTCAGTCCCGTCTGACTGGGAAATAGCGACTGCGGACTCATTTTTGGCTTCTCAAAACTTGCTACCCATGCCTGAAAAAAAGTATTATATACAAATATCAACATAGATTTCGAAAAACAGACAGCCCTTGTATGCTTCTATACAAGTGTGCTTGAACTAAGGAAATGCAAACATAATTCGGTGATATGTCTAAAGTAAGTGAGAAACAGTACTTTGAGCATTATTCAGTGCATTAGCATGATCAGAGATCTTACAACAAGTATATGTTTGTTTGTTGTTGAATGCCGCACTCAGCAATATTTCAGACAATCCAGTGATTGACACAATGAGCATCGTTCTAAGAAATACGAAGACATGCATCAACCAAGTCAGTAAGCATGACCACTCAGTCCCATACGTTGCCTCTTACGACAAACATGGGTCACCGAAGACCAATTCTGACCCTGACCTTCATGGGAGCAACAAGTACTAGAGACAAGGGGTGTAAGGTCATGGTGGCGGGTGTGTTGCTTACCTTCCTCTCCAGGTGGCGGTACAGTCTGGTGAGGGCTTCTGACTCTCCGCCTCGGAATATCACGGGGTGAACACCATCAATGTCAAACCCTGGAACAGAATCACACTAGTAGGAACACCAATTGTCTCATGTTTCTGAAGTTATGACTTTCAACAACGTTTACCCTAGTCGCTGTAATAAGAAAAAATTCATCCACTACCCTCACTGTACCGAAAATAAATCTCTCCGACCTGTAGTTCTGCCTTCCATTGGCTTAATAACGATATGTATCAAAAACAGAACTACGTTCTTGGAGTAACTACTGGGGCTAGTTTCACTATTGCAATTGTATTGCATTTGTACTCCACACTATTGCAGTTGTACCCCACACTATTGTAATTGTATTGCAATTGTACTCCACACTATTGCAATTTGTATTGCAATTGTACTCCATACTATTGCAATTGTATTGCAATTGTATTGCAATTGTTCTCCACACTATTGCAATTGTACTCCACACTATTGCAATTGTATTGCAATTGTACTCCACACTATTGCAATTGTATCACAATTGTATTGCAATTGTATTTCACAGTATTGCAATTGTACCCCACACTATTGCAATTGTATTGCAATTGTACTCCACACTATTGTAATTGTATTACATATGTACCCCATACTATTGCAATAACACAGCAACAGAAGTAAACCAACTTATTGCAACTATTGAAACTATCATTTGTCATGCATTCGATTGACAATACGTTTGACATTTACAAATTCCTATTGATATAGTACTATTGTAGGGCAAACATTTGCAAGACATCGATAGTTTGACGTACTGTTACACTCCTAATACATTCCCAACAAAGCATCGCAGGGGAGGGACTATCATGCCTAGGAGTCACTGCGTTGAAATGAGTGATGATGAAAAGGGAAACACTCTAAGCAATGGTCTTGTTTTGGCTTTTATTATATACCGTATTCGACGTAATAAGCGCCCAGGGCGCTCTCAAAATTAGAAATAGGGGGCTCTTATTAGAATGTTATTTTGGTGGGAAAAAAACATAGTTGAAAGATAAATTTTGTGGTTTGTGCTGACAGCCTGAAATGTTTATGTATGACAGATATATATTTTCCAGAATTTAATTGCCCATAAATAAGGGTGCATATAACACATGTGTGCATATTATACCGAATGAATAAGTCTTGTGTACATTGATCAATCGGATGGGATACTAATTGGGCTTTTTCACTAGCCAATATATCAGCAAATATCGCCGTGGGCGCTTATTAGAGTGGGGCGCTTATTACGTCGAATACGGTAAGTTCAATTATGAACGCGACGTTAAACACTATTTCACCTCATACCTAGTTCTTCCAGTTTAAGTACACCATACTTCTCATCATGGTCCAGAGTGACAGGGGTGACTGAATGACCAATCAGGTCCGGCTTAATGGTCTCCTCGGGCATCGGGGGTGGCTTCATCTGGGCCAGCACCGACAGAAACCGCTTGTACGTGAGTGGGTGTGTACTATTGTTCATCTTGATAACGCTGAAAGTAGCATTTAAGGCACAAATTAGCATGCATTTCATGCTACAACTGGAACATAGATAGATTTTCCTTCTTATTAACCAAATATACAAAACAACAGTGAATGAGGGGGGTAAAGGGAGAAATTAAGCACTGTCACGTGGCCTGTTACTGATTAACATTGCCTTGGAAGGGGATGTGATTTGAAAGAGAAAGGGAGGGAGGGAAGGAGGGAGGGAGGGCTGGAGGTACATAAATATGGAGGGCATAAACCGGTAAATAAATGTTGTTTTACACAATAGTTTCACATCAACCTGGCCAAGCTAACCAGTGGTTGATAGCATGAGTGACAATTAAACCAAATGAACACTGATGAAACACCATCAGCTTGCTCTCATCGTTGCAACAAGGGATGCTGACATGGCAGAGCTCCAGATAAGCTGCGTATCTGCGTGAAATACGCATCAGAAATGCAGAAATACACAGTAAAATATAATCCAAGCGTATCAAATACGCAACGAACATTACAGATACGCTACAAAAATAAAACTTGTGCGTATTATCAAAATATTGTGAAGTAACCCTGCGTATTCGATTAGCAAATCAGCAACTTATTTTGAAATTATAAACGGGCATTCCGTCAACCTTGCCAAACTCCACGATGAAAGTTACATCATGATCATTTGCCATCACACTTTCTTGTGGAAGTATCGTTGTATTTTTGAGTCCTATAAAGCTCTCGAACCCACACGAACCAGTTTGCAGGGACTAGATGAATAGTGTTTTTAAATATTTAACTTAAATACCCACATGTGTAAAAACTAGTGGGTAACAGAAATTTGAATACGCAGATAGAATTACTGATACCCAATGATTTTAAAATGCATGGGTAAAATACCCACAACACCAAAAGCTTATCTGGAGCTCTGCATGGACAACGTTCTACTTACTCCTCGAGTTTGTACAGTGTGTGCGAGGTGCGGATGATAGTCTTGACCCCACAATCGGTAGCAAGGGAACATATGGAAGCATCGCGATCTTTTCCAAATGGCTCTGGATCTTCTTCGAATGATAAATGAGTAATGTTCCATTCCTGAAATCAAAATAAAATATTTTAAAAACACAACATTCAACATAATCATCTTATAAAAACCTTCCCAAGCATCAAATTATTTACAGCAATCATCATCAGATTACTGCAATTGACTCCTTGAAACAAACCTTCGTCGTCAGAGACCGGAGACATAGTTACCATACTTTAACTCACTTAAAGTTATATGTTGTAGCTTGACTATAAAATGTCATTTGTTTTGCAATCGCCATAGCAACACCATGGAAAGCCTCAACTGTGACTTGTCAAAGTGTTCCATGTGTAAAATACATCCGGTAACATAACAAGAGATTGCTATTTCCGACTTATTTTACAAGACAATTACAGTAATCTAAATCTCTGCAAATAAGACAATGCCCACCATACAGTAAATACAAATAAAATTTAAACTATCATGTCTAGTGGTGTTTAAATCGGAAATTTCACATTTTTCTTGAGCAACTTGGTTACCGTCTGTTCGTTCACCAGGAGTGATACAAGGGTTTACCCTGACGCAGAAAACCTGCATATTTGACACAATCTAAGGACAAAATATGCAATATTATTTCTCCATTGTGTCCAAAATGTCTTGTGTAGGCGTGTCTGTAAGATTAGAAATTAAGATTGGAGTGCCATGTGACTTATCATAAACTATTACCCTGATTACAGGAACAGATATGTAGTTTTATTCAAGTGAGCCACTGGGCCCACACAAAGATTACATAAAGGAAAAGCACTAAGTCATTGGCCAGAAAGGTGAGAGTGTAATTGATCTCAATGTTTTGTAAAGAAGTGCAAAAAATGCAGGATAACCAATTTATTTAACATAATGACCTATGATTCGAACCGAGTGCGAAATCTTGAATGAGAACAAAACCAGCCAGCAATCATTTCTAACTCACATTTTCCCAACTATATCTTCCAGTTCTCAGAAAACTAATGTTTGAATCTGGCAGTTGCTGATCATGTCATTTGAAACAGCCACCTTCTCCCTGACCTATTTGTTCTGATTCGTAACAGTTGCAGTTCTTCTGCCTTTTGCCTTGATTGACAGATCCAATGAAGTGTGGTTGATGTTCCTCTCCACTGATTGAGTACTTACTTCGTGGGCGTGTCAACATGGTCAAGTAATGTGCATAAATTAAGCTATCACCTGATTCATAACATGCCACAGTATGTATTCCTACGCCTGGACTGTTGATCAGTCTTGTCATATTTGTCGGCTTTGATTAATTTACTGGTCACCAACCAGTTATCGCCATTTTTTTCACGTTATTTCTGAAATATTTGGTGTTCAAAGTTAACTGTGCAAACAACTTGGATTTGTTTGAAACTGTGAGAAAATGCGCATTTTTCTGTCCGTGGAAAAAAAAGAAACCAGCAGATTTCTACTACAACAGGGAATTAAATCAGTGGAAATAGAAATTTCAACCAACTGTACCAGTTATCACCATCATCTAAACAGCATGTGCCACATGATCACGCACACCGCTTCAGTTATACAAGTTTCATGTTCTATTTTCTCTGGTATCGCACTCTATTTTTATATTCATTACATTTAAAAAAAATGCTTTTATCAATTTGTTGTCTGCAAACTGAAGCATACCAATGTTCCCAAAATTTTATGCTTAACACATGCTTATCCTCAACACTATGTACTATGGATTTCGCATTAATACACGGTGATGCATTTTTGAGATAATAGCTGAAGTAGGTTTAAGAATTGTAATTTGGGGAAGAAATGACAGACAGACAGTAAGCTAACAAAACTGAATGTGCATCATCGTGTTGTTGGATTTTTGTTACGAGTTAATTAGTCATGTGACACCTCCCTCGTGTCTCTTCTAAAGTTGTATTTGATGAAGGTAATTGTCAAGAGTCAGTTTTGTTCATCATTTTTGGATAAATATTTCTCTTTTCTAATGTAACCAACCAAAGGTAAAACGAGATGTGATTATGTGCGCGCTATAATGGAGAGTTGATTCATACGTCAACAAATGGAGAAAAAAAACCTGGTTGAGGTTGGAGACACGTAATAAAGGGTCTTATATTTGCATGTGCATGATACTCGGTCAACTACACCCATATCAGAATTCTTATACTACTGGCTCCAGCAATACAAACAGTTCTGTCACTGTGTCAGACTGATTAACAGAGACAGAAACCCACCACACTAACACAGTCAAAATAGTGGGTCCTGTTTATCTCCTATCAACAACAAACATACAGGCTGTAACCCAGTGGACCCAAACTGACATGACGTATGTTCAGTGAGGGAAAATTGCTAAAGTTAGAAGCTCCTAGGGACCAGTTCAAAAGTATGATGTCGGATAAAAAAAAAATTATTCATTAAGATTTGAGTCATTTCCCACCCCACCCCAACCTCATGCCCTCCCAAAAATGTATTTCTGAAAATGTTGAATTCTGAAGTTCAGTGGCCTCTTGTCACACAGTCTTTTGTTTTGCCCTGCTTTTTCAGCTAGTTTATCAATGGAAGTTTATGTACTAGGTGTTGAAAATCATTTGTAGGTTTTTATAGATCAAATCTGCCATTCTATATTACTTACTTCCCTTGATGGACTTACCACTATTGTTAGCAGTGATAAAACCCTACCTTGAGGAAAGACTGGTAGTATTTAATGACCGCCAACGTTCGAAAATAGAACTGGTTTAGTGTGGATACTATACAAAACACTGAGAAATCTGTTCAGTTGATTGTGTCTGATGGAAAATTTGCAGGGCCATTGAGACCCCCACCCCAACCCCTAAACTTCAGGAATTCAGATATTTATCCGACATCCAACTTTTGAATCTGTCCCTTACTATTAGACGATGTTGTTATTACAACTTTTTGTACTGTGTTTATACTTAGACCCAGAACAGAAACTGACTGATAGCGTTTCAATCAGCAATGCAACTGGAGAATGAGAACAACAGATCTGGGTGACAAATTAGGTCATGATGACCAACTTAAGTAAAGCGCTATCTATACTCCGGGCCTATATCTGTAACCTCCAGTGTCCCACATACTCTGAACAAGTAAACATTAAGCAATATTGACAAGATGAGTTAAAATAAATACTGGTGATGTATCACTAAGGCATCCACCTCCCTATATCTACCCAACATGGTACTGATCATGGTACTGCCTCTAGATATGTCTGTCCCATACAGTACAGTCCACCCAGGTACAAAGTTCGTTTGTTTGTTGTTTAACGCCGCACTCAGCAATATTCAAGCTTTATGTGGGCAGTCTGTGAATAATTGAGTCTGGACAAGACAATCCAGTGATTGATATCATCAGCATCGATCCACGCAATTGGGATTGATGACATGCATAAACCAAGTCAGCGAGCCTGACCACTCGATCCCGTTAGTCGCCTCTTACGACAAGCATAGTCACCAACACAGTTTGAAATTAAGGGGGTCCCAAAGGCTTGCTCCATTAGAAGATTAAGTGGAAACTAGGGACCCCCTAAATTCAACTTTTGACATAATACCTATCATGCATATGATAAGGACCCTTTGACATCCAAGCTTAATTTCAAACACTGCAAAAAAAGTAACTTTGATTTTTCTTACTTTGAAAACTTTAGGAAAGACTTCTGTGGGTTGACCCCGGATCACAAAAAGACGGGATCCCAATTGCCGTAGACTCTTGTCAAGGTCTTCCAAGCACTCCAACAAGAACCTGTAAGGGATCACACAACATTACCCACAAGAAGACATTTTGACGGCATTTTTAATACATGATCAAGATGACAACATTCAGTGTGTACAGACTTGTTCTCGCCATTGTAGCAACACGCTCGGTCCCTGGGAAATCTATGCTCACCATTGTTGTACGTGTGAGCAAGTGGAATCTATGTTTTAATAATATTTTCCTCATTCCGTTTCCGCACAAACTAAGATGCACATTTCAGTTGTTAGTGCCATGCCGAGTTTTTTGGATAAAACTCCTATCACCAAGCACGCTGCCTAATTTACTTTCCGCCTCAAGATATTCCAAGTAAGTATTTTAATAATCACAATATTTATTCCTCTGCTAAATAATGATGTGTTGGGACCATGTACATAGGTATTTTACATTGTTGCAGGAAAGTTTAGTGCTTATTATAAAGTTAGACTTTTGGGTACCGAAAGGTCAATTTTCCCGCCCTATGTTAGCAGTATTTGTATGTTTACGAGTTGATCGATAATGGCAAACACTGTCAGATTCTGTTTCTGTGTTGTTTTTGGTATAAGTAGATATCAGCACAAGTTAACTGCACCATGTAAGACATAAGACTGACCAGTGTACTGCTGTGTTGCCGGTAAATGAGACACACAGCTATGTAAATCGAGTGGATGACACCTCATGCGTGATGTTTAGCTAGCATGATTAGATTTAAATGTCTGTAGCAAGATGGCATTTACTTTTCGTGACTGAATGTTGATGTATATTATCAGATACCATCCTTAAGTCAGTATATCTCTAGTCGTGGTAGTATTGTCGGGTATTTTATGGAAGTTATAGGCCTAAACTTTTATGTAGATGAATATCAGCGCCAGAGGTCAAAGGTCAGACGTCACGGCGTTATGCTCTGTATCAATATTGTGCAAGCCATTTAACTAATATGTAATGTTGATTGCCATTATCTATCTGGTACTTTGAGAGGGATGAATTATCTTTGTTATTTGTGTTATATAGCCTAGCTGTACTAGATTAGATGTCTTATAGGTTATTGCGTTATGCTCTATTTCAATATTTCGCAGGCTATTTTATCCAGTATGTAATGTTTACTGGTATTATCATGATTATGTAGCTGGTACTTTGAATTGTGTTGTCATTAATACTATATAGTTAAGCTACACTAGAGCTCATGTAGCTTAAGGCACTATGGCCTGTTTCAACTTTATGTAGGACTGCCTAACCATTATTCACTATTAAACTATTGTTACTTCAGGGAGATAATGGTAACATCACTGATGCATATACCAGTATTATTGTATTCTGAGTATCATAGAGCATTATGTCAGAATATATTTGTCAGTTATCTGATGCTAAGGCATTATCTAATTGTTTTTTGTGCTTTCAGGTTTACTAGTCAGAGGCAGGCTTAGTGAACTGCCACCCTTATCTAACCCTGTCATTTAGGGGTGGGACGAGTCCGAATTTACTGCCCGGGTACCCAACCCCCTATTACCCGACCCTACCCTGGTTCCCTCTGTAGGTCTCAAGAGATAGGTACAAAATGTCCGATTGGGCATTTTCTTACCATAGCACTGGCAAAACGCATTTAGATACATGTATTAAACAATCTGGTCATGCATACACTGAATTTGACTCAAGTTTATCTTTATTCAAAGATATGAAAAGTCAGAATGAATGGGTGCATAGTCAGAAAGAAATACGAACATTAGTGACTTGTAGCGAAACCATAGAGTTCTAAATAAGTTTTTGTCATTAAACAATATAGTCACGTGAATAACCACGGGTCCGAGTAGTCCTGTGGGTACCCGGGTCCTACTCAGTACCCACCCGACCCGGGTACCCAAGTTACCCGTCCCAGCCCTACTGTCATTCACAAATTCCTATAAGTAATTTTACTAATAAACAGACATTAAATTCAAGTGATGTGTGTTATAACTATAAGGTGGACCTGGCCACACATATTGGTTCAACTACTTGTACCGGTATAAATTATGTCTACTCAGTGCAGCATCATGGTGAATCTCAAAGAACAAACATTTTCTCTAGGTCATCAATGTTAAGGTTTAATGTCAGGAAGTCTTCTAATAAATTAACTAACTAAGAAATTAATTGGAAGACTTCTACCCAGACGCTCATCAATAACAATCAAGACATTGATTATGAAGAAAGTGCTGAGGATCCCGACCTTCAGAGATGTGCACGTGCTAGTGCCGCCTCAAACCGGATCATGGACAAATCAACGTCAGGCTATGCAGCATACCAACAAACCTGCCACATGACCAGTGTCCGAAATAACGGCCTGCCGGTGACTGCTAACTATTCTGTTGGGCTGCATGAAATTTTCTTCCGCCTGCCAAACTGTTTGGCGGATAATTTTGAGACTACTTACATATTCTGTTTAATTATAACTCCATGTTGATTCTCAAGTAATTGTTTGCATTATTTCAACTGAATCAAGATGCGATTTGTCTCTTGTCTTTTGCAATTTTTCAATATGTATGTCTGAATGCAGGCAGGTAGCTTTGAAGACCGACAGGCAACACTTATGGGTCACCTGTCCAACTGTCTTGTTGGGTTTCCAAATTATTTCGAACACAATCTCATTAAAATAAGATCTTAGTTCTCGCTGCCGCTAAACAAAGATCTCAGGACATCCCATTACGGATCACATCAGACCGACCTATCGCAAACCCTGACCGACCAGTGGAATTACTGACAAGAAGTAGACATTAGCCAATCAGAAAGCAGCTTTCTCATGCTTTACAGCACTAATTTCAAATTGGCAACCATGCTTGGAAACATATTTTGTCAAATTCTCGCTTAAAAATTTGAAACCTGAACAAAAGAACATTCTCGAATGGCTAACATATGGTCTAGATTGTATAGATTCAGTCGTCAAGCCCGTAACTATCGTTCAGAATACCCTGTTTTAAAGTTTTCAAGGCTGCATGATTAGAAATCACATTCAGCCTGTCACTTTCATGATCTGGTAAGCGACGCTCTGATTGGTCAGATGAAAGGTCGTTCTGACGTGACCCCTAATGGGATGTCCTCAGATCTTTGTTTAGCGTTAGCGAGAACTAAGATCTGATTTTAATGAGATTGTTTCGAACACTGCACTTACTTGTAACATTTGTCCTGTATATGCATAATCCTATCAGATGTTAATATCCAATATTGTAAATCTGTAAATGTATTTACAATACCATCTACAGTGCTGCAGATAACTTTTTTGAGCAATTGAGTTTTTACTCTTGGGTTTCTACTTTAATTGGCTTATTACATTTTTCAATGGGTAACCAGTATAATTTCACTCGTCTACATGTATTCATTAATTTATTGGGGTTTTCCCAAAATTAGTGACCATTTTAAGATTTTTAAAAAAATGAAGTAATGTTTTAGATGTATATAACTTTTCTAAATAAATAGGCTTGACCGGAAAGTAAATTAGCTCATAATTGTGTTTCGGAAATTAGCCCCTTTGTACCCATGCTGAAAAAGCTTCATTGGGTATTGATGCGAGCTGTTTTTAAACATTTGAGTTTTTCATTTAATGCATGAGTTTCTGTAGGCAAGTTAATTGAAAGTAATTGGGTTTTGAATATTTCTTGGCAGGTATATTACACAAATACACTGCTTATCTGTAGCTCTGCATGTTACTTTTAACATTGGAGACTAAACATCTAGAGGGTGATATCCTGGGCATTAAATACAAACCTAAGGCTTGCAATGGTCAAAACTATGAAAACTGTAAGAAAAACATTTAAGGTAGTTCTTCCAAAAATATACTTTAGGCCACAAATAATATTTTCTGGTTCCTGTCTGTGTCCTTTTCATCACCTACATCGGTCTAATTTATTTTCTTGATATTTAATTAACCCAAGGGAAGGAAACTCTAGTCTACTTTCCCAAAAAAGAAAGTACAATGAATAATGAATTTCCCTAAAATAACATTGTTTACCGAGAGTGTAATGTTATATCAACCTATCAAAATGGTCTGTCCTACAATAGCCCTTTATTGTCAATAGTATCCATAATAATCGACAGTTTAAACGGTTGCAATTAGTTATATATTAAACGCCATGGTGCTTTTCTCCTGGCAGCGGTCAAGATGCATGACACATGCGCAGATGCTCTTATCTGGTAAGACAAATACCCAATAACCATGATAACCAGGGTATGAAACTCCCAAAAATTTCAGCAAGACCACAGGACTGGCTAGCTGAAATACTTGCCAGCCCTGACCAAAACCTACCTGCTCACTTTAGTCATATGTTTCTCGGGATAATTTAATTAAAAATATGAAAACTGATTGCTTGTAGCAAAAGCTCATCGCTAAATGTTAGGTTGTCTAAAAGGTAACGGGGTTTCTTTTTGGTTACATTTTATCATTCATCTTTACATGTGAAATAATGCTTATCATCGGGAAATATTTAGGATATTTTCACCTATGAAATATAACCAGACCGTCGGGCAGGGGGATTTGAAAATCTGGCAGCCCGAGTTGAAATCAGCCAGTCTCGGACGGTCGGGCAGGCAGGTATTTCGAATGCTGCAATAACATAACTTGATGGTATTTTGATGCCAGGATTGGGAGAAATGGTATCTGAAACACTTACCTCCCAGCAATGATATATTCCAAAAGAGGGTTACTTTAGTTGCAGTTTTATAAATGAATAATAATAACAATAAGCTTTGCACTTTTGATATACAGCCAGAATTATTTTACATATGGAACAGTTTAGCGGGTCATTGTTACGAACCTTCCCGGATGTTTGCTAATTCTTTTGTGAAAAGAATATGTTTCACAAAAGAATATGTTTCACAAAAGAATATGTTTCACAAAAGATTATGTTGACATGTAATGGTCAAACTACAACAAAATATGTCTTTAACGAGTCAAAATATGACATTTATGATTGTATCCATTCTCTGTCGACTAACATTTCAAAGTGCCAAAAGCAGTAAACTGATTGTTGCTGTAAACAACAGTGAGTTGGAGCGATGCTGAAACTAATGTAAACAGCAATGAAAGAAGTTTTGAATAAAATTAATAACAGATTACATACAAACAGTCCAGATACACAACCTGTAACCAGATAGTGTAATAACAGAATTAACATGTATAGTTTATCAAATTCCTCCCGCCTCACTTGAAAGAAAATATGGTAATTAGTTTATGTAATAAACAGGATTAACATGCGTAGTTTATCAAATTCCTCCCGCCCCACTTGAAAAGGAATATGGTAATTAATTTATGCAATAACAGGATTAACACTCGTAGTTTATCAAATTCCTCCCGCCTCACTTGAAAGAGAATATGGTAATAAATTTATGCAATAACAGGATTAACATGCGTAGTTATCAAATGCCTCCCACCTCACTTGAAAGAGAATATGGTAAGTAATTTATGTAATAACAGAATTACCATGCATAGTTTATCAAATGGGATACGGTGACATGCACCAGGTCTGCAAGTCTGACCACCCAAATATTGTAAGTCACATTTTCGACAAGCATAGTCGCCTTTTAAGGGAAGCATGGGTTGCTGAAGACCCTGATCTTCAAGACTTTCAAACTTGGAGCGTTGTTTTCCATTAAACCAAAACTATTTCGTTCACTTATATCCTAATTTAAGTCAATTGTTTAAAACAATAGAAATGCATGTACTTTCTCAGTTACCCATGGATTTTTCAGAATACCATTACAAATAGACCAGGATGGCATTTTTATGGATATATATTTGTCAAAAACTGAGTCAAGCTTATATAAAAAAACAAGCATAAGGTTTGCCAACATTTTAACAATAAATACATATTTAATAAAACCATGGATGCATAAATCTGCGATAATACACCATATTTCAAATGCTATTTTGGCCTTCATTTGGATCATCAATGTAATCAGTATAATATATTTTTGTTGTGGGAAGCTTGTCTGAAATTTATGTGTCAAGACAACATGAAAGTCGCCCTTGAAGAAGATAATCTACCAATCAGAAGCCAGGATATTAGGCCAAGTTCAGCATCATAAAATCAATGATCAAACATTATTAATCTAAGAACTGTCAACAAAACACACTGATGTTTATTTCATCGCCTTAATTGGTTACATTACAAATTCAACACCTCCATACATCGATTGAGGATCTTTGTTTGATACAAATTAAAGAAATCGTTCGTTAAATATACGACTCATTTGTTTGGTCTAACATATAGACCTATATAATATAATTATGGGTACACCCCATGATAGATAAAATATATTATATTTTATATATAACGGGTTGTATCCTTATGTTCAATGTTGTTAGCAAATTCTGAAAAAATATCAAGGCCTAACCATTCTTTCACGTTATGCAATGTGTGCGACATCTCGTTAATATTCATGAGGTTGACATTGGCCTGGTTCATAAATATACATATAAGCTATGACAGTAGGTGGCAAATGGATTAGAGTTTCCTGTTTATCATAATCCAACGCAAAAACACAACCTTTTCAGTTCTACTAACCTCCACTTGTTAATCCCAACTTGCGAAGCCCCAGCAAACCAAGGATCAAGTATATAAATACATCGGTAAGAAAAGGAATCTTGTATGCCTTCTCGCAATGCCGGATTGTCGTGTAGTCGGAGGCCTTTTCGGAACCAGTGTACAGTGTTTTTCCTGGGTCTTGACATAATTGAATGGTATGAGATTCACAAATTACTGGTCTTAAGTCATTCCGTTTGAAGTCTTCTTCTTTTAGAAATGTAGATAGGCCTAGGTAACTGTTGATCAAAATCCACTTACAATGTATTCCACACTGCCCCCTGAACACACTGAACGATACAATCAATATATTACCTAGTCTCTGATTTGCTGAGAGTGGTCATGTGGTCTATTCTGCCTCACGTGTACGACAGCATGGTTTGGAAGAGATTTTCTGCGCACGTTATGCGCAACAACAAAGGGAGTTAATTCCCATATATTGTCCTCAACATGATTCATAGTTTTTACATAGTGAGCCAATCGTATTTTACATCGACGTGAGGAAAAAATAAATATGTGAATGAATATAATCTAGAACGTGTCAACAGATATTTGAGTTGGGTTTTTTTCAAATTACCTGTTTTTATCAAGTGACAATACACAATTGCTATTTTCATGAAAGGCATGAACTTTTTCAGCCACCTGAAATTCAGGTCACGAGTTTTAATCCTTGACGTATTTCAAATCCTACCCTCGAATCAAGCAATGAAGTATTATGTAGCAACACATACGATATGATTATTCGTCCAACTGAGTATTACTTAGTAACACATATACAATATGATTATTCAACCAATGAAGTCTTACTTAATAGTAACACATACAATATGATTATTCAGCCAGTTAAGTCTTACTTAGTTACACATACGATATGATTATTCAACCAATTAAGTATTACTCAGTCACACATACAATATGATTATTCAGCCAATTGAGTATTGCTTAGTAACACAAATGCAATATGATTATTCAGCCAATTGAGTATTATTACTTAGTAATACATACAATGCGATTATTCAACCAATTTAAGTATTACTTAGTAACACATATACAATATGATTATTCAACCAGTTAAGTATTACTAAGTAACAAATATACAATATGACTATTCAACCAATTAAGTATTACTTAGTAACACATATGATATGATTATTCAGCCATTTAAGTATTAGTTCTTAGTAATACATACACTATAATTATTAAACCAATCAAGTATTACTTAGTAACACATACAATATGATTATTCACCCAATAAGGATATGGGAGACGTTTTGACGCCACTTTGAACAGTGTTTCAGCTATATTTACCGGTATCAGCTTGATGTGGGAGACATCGATTGGAGTGCTTGGGTGAAAAGATGGCGGATGATGTATACTGATGAATTCACCTGCATTTCAAAACTACAAAGTATTTTTTTTTTTGTCATCGCCAATATGTCAGCCATTCTGTGTAGAAAGGAAAATATGCATACACACAGTAACACACAACGCGGTAAATATTACATACAGGTTCATGCAAAATAATCAAATCCTGCGGGTAAAAGTCAAAATCTCGTGACAACTACAAGAACAATAAATTTTAACACATATTCACGGGTTATTATACAGTCCAATTTCTTTTAAATATTTCAAAATCAAATGACCGCTACGACCGGTAAATATATGTAAACCTCAAGTCTTTGAATGGCGTTTAGAAGTGATACATATAAGTAAGACAAAATTGTTATGGATGAGCAACTTCTTTATTACAATAATAAAGAAGTTGCTCATCCATAACAATTTTGTCTTAGTTATACCATTCCAACTTCTAAATGCCACTCAAAGAAGTGATACATATAAGGAAAGAATTTATGGATGTCAACTTCTTTATTATGAGGAACACAACGTTTTGAAGTATATGCTTACTCATTCATCAGGTGACTTGCCGCATTTTTAATACGAATCCCTTGCGATTGTAAAGTCCAAGAACTCAAGCAAAGTATGCTTGTCAACATTTCATGGAAAGGCGTGTACTTAGGTATATACTAGGTTCAGTCTTGTCAGATTTTAGCAGATATTCCTGGGTAAATTGTGGCCAGTACTACATCGCCGCACAGTGACTGGACTGACAACCCAAGTAGGCGGGCCTGTATTGGGTAACTACAGAAAGTTTAATCATGTCTATTTTATTCCCACCTTGTGTTGAATAAGATCACGAATATAGTGTATAAGAGTGGATACTTGATTGTCAGAGCTGAGTTAGATGTACCTTCGGAATCCCCTGGAGTGCTAACATGGCTAGGGAACTTAACTAACAAAAGACGACATGACACTCGCCAGTAGAAAGATGGTATATGCTGGAGTCAGTGAGTGAGTTGGGTTTAACGCCGCTTTTAACAGTATTCCAGTCATATCACGGCGTGTCAGCTTAATGTGGGAGGAAAGCCCGAAGTGATGCAGGGTTCACACGTTTACCACTTCGGTGAAACCCACGAGCACGGGTATGGTGCTGACAAACCTAGAAACATAATAATATCTCAAACAAATTTTGAAATTTGGTTATATCCGGGTATCCCCTACTTTTTGAAAGAGTATATGTGGCCCACAGGTGGTATTCCAAATGATATATGGTCTTGTTTTGACACATTGCTTGGACCCGTGAAGATCCGGGGTAGAAGAGGTATTCAGCAACCCATGTTTACCATAAAAGGCGACTATACTATGCTTGTCGTGAAAGGCGACTAGCTGGTCAGGCTCGCTGACTTGGTTGATGCAATTGCGTGGATCGATTCTGGCCCAGCATCGCTTAGCATAGTACTGTTTTTTTACTGATCCTATTCTGGCCCAGTATCGCTTCGCATAGTACTGTTTTTTTACTGATCCTATTCTGGCCCAGTATCGCTTAGCATAGTACTGTTTTTTTACTGGTCCTATTCGGGGCCAGTATCGCTTAGCATAGTACTGTTTTTTTACTGGTCCTATTCTGGCCCAGTATCGCTTAGCATAGTACTGTTTTTTTACTGGTCCTATTCTGGCCCAGTATCGCTTAGCACAGTACTGTTTTTTTACTGGTCCTATTCTGGCCCAGTATCGCTTAGCATAGTACTGTTTTTTTACTGGTCCTATTCGGGGCCAGTATCGCTTAGCATAGTACTGTTTTTTTACTGGTCCTATTCTGGCCCAGTATCGCTTAGCATAGTACTGTTTTTTTACTGGTCCTATTCTGGCCCAGTATCGCTTAGCATAGTACTGTTTTTTTACTGGTCCTATTCTGGCCCAGTATCGCTTAGCATAGTACTGTTTTTTTACTGGTCCTATTCGGGGCCAGTATGGCTTAGCATAGTACTGGGGTTTTTTTACTGGTCCTATTCTGAACCAGTATCGCTTAGCATAGTACTGTTTTTTTACTGGTCCTACTCTGGCCCAGCATCGCTTAGCATAGTACTGTTTTTTTACTGGTCCTACTCTGGCCCAGCATCGCTTAGCATAGTACTGTTTTTTTACTGGTCCTATTCTGGCCCAGTATCGCTTAGCATATAGTACTGTTTTTTTACTGGTCCTATTCGGGGCCAGTATGGCTTAGCATAGTACTGGGGTTTTTTTACTGGTCCTATTCTGAACCAGTATCGCTTAGCATAGTACTGTTTTTTTACTGGTCCTATTCTGGCCCAGTATCGCTTAGCATAGTACTGTTTTTTTACTGGTCCTATTCTGGGCCAGTATCGCTTAGCACAGTACTGGGTTTTTTTTTACTTGTCCTATTCTGGGCAAGTATCGCTTAGCATATATTGGCCCCATTCCGGACAACTACAGATTGCCAGTACTGTCCAATATTGGTTCTATTCTGGGCCGATATCGGTTGGCGGTGCCATTCCGAATGTACACGAACCCTATATTCTGTAAACAAAGGTGCGTGTACAATCAATAAATCAATCAACTCAATCTATATATTCTGTAAACAAACTTCATAATCAAGGAAGCACACAAGCAATCAACTCTATCAGCTCAATGGTAACAAGATTCTATTTTCTTAACTTATGGATTTAAGTCTACTGTTGGATTTCAAATACTCCAAGTGACAGTATCTCGATCCCACGTATTTAGCATGGGGCATCGGGAAAATAAGCGTTTGCGTCATTCGTTAACACTCGTATTTTTCCGTAACCTACAAGAAGGTCGGCTTGTCCCTGAATAAACTTCATATCAAATTTCAAAGCGGTAAATAGTGCGACCAGGGAATGCCGAAGAATCACGCTTATACACACGATGACGTCTAGTTATAAAACCAACGCCAGTGCGATCGCCCACACAGCGAGCACAGTGCTGGCAACGTGACACAGCTCGGACAGTTGTCGCATGAGACCCAGCTGCATCATGAATGGCGGTGTTCTGAAACCATTATTTAAGGACTGGTTTCGTTTTACCTTTCATTGTTTTGGTGATTTAATAGACGGATACACGTCCCAAACTGTATGTCACCGCGTGAACAGCAAATGGATATATGCTGTTTACTATCAGTCTACGCTTGGCATATATGTCCATCTTACCGAGGGAAGAATTTCGAACAGCCACAAGCAATCAATAGCGCTGTCTATCTAAGGATGATTTCACCCGTGAAGATCCGGAGAAGAATAGGTCTTCAGCAACCCATGCTTGCCGTAAAAGGCGACTATGCATGCTTGTCGTAAAAGGCGACTAACGGGATCGGGTGGTCAGGCTCGCTGACTTGGTTGATGCATGTCGTCGTATCCTAATTGCGTGGATCGATGATCATGATATTAACCACTGGATTGCCTTTTCCAGACTCGATTATTTACAGACCGCCGTCATATAGCTGGAATATTGCTGAGTGCGGCGTAAAACAACCAACCAACCAACTAACGATGAATTCGGACAATCAGCGCAGTTAATCATTTTTTAATCTCAGGGAGTACTTTTAAAAAAAAGCCGATAAACAATAGATATATCTATCTATCTATCTTCGGGCATGTTTTGTTAACACTCGTGTCTATAAGAGGTGAAATACTTGATCCACTTTCACATACATCCCCTTAATTTGCCTACAGAAACGGTGATGTGTGGTCGTTTGTCCACACATATACACCCCTTTGTTGGTAATGGGTCAGTCCCAACACAAACCTGGCGCTGTATATATATTTGTTACAGTTAAAACGTATAATCAGTTATTATGTATTATACTTGAAAAATTGCCTCATATTTTAGACATACTAATTGAAATGGAACAACATAACAATTAATGATGAGAAAGTGGTCAATTGTAACTACACTGATATGGACTATATGATTGAGATGAGTGATTTGTTTGTTTGTTGTTTAACGCCGCACTCAGCAA